GAGGCAAGACGGATGATGTATCCAATAGCTCAGACCTGGCATAGGCAGGCACACATCAGTTCTTGAGGGGCACTGCTTGATCACATCAGGAAGGGAGCAGTAAGGCCACCACTGGTTCTTCCAGACTAATTAAACTGGAGGACTCTTATCACTCTTCATTCTTAAAGGGGCCAGTATCTGCTGCTTTGTTCCTAACCCCTAGAAATTAAAGGGTATAAGGGCTTTAAGCATCTTCCAATCCTGCATTGCCAAAACAGCCTGCCTGGTGTAGGCACCTGGAGGTTAGGTGAAACACTGCTTCAGTCCTTTATTCTTCAGACCTTCTAAGGTCTCAAATCAGCATGTAACCCATGAGGGCACAGATATCTCTTCTGTCTCATCAATAACATACACAACACCTTCTGTGGACATCTTCCATGGGAGGAAGAGGTGAGAGGCAACAGGTCTTTAGACATCAGGTTCTCTCATTAAAGCAGATACACAAATATCAACATATCAAAATCAGCCCTCAAAACCTTTTTTAAATCCACTATATAGCTACGAACGTATGCCTATTTTTAGTATCAAATATTTCATTCACCAGATCGAGCTGTATTACAGCTGGTAATTGCCAGTCAAATGTTCTCAATCATGGACATACTGGCTCATAATACTTTTTAAAATGGACTTTTTTAAAAAGTGCCTCTGCAGCTAGACTTAAAAAACATATTCTTGCCATGCCTGTTTTAGTAAGGGATCAAATCACACAGTGAAAGTCTTAAGGCAGGTAACCAGGGCTGTTTTGGTTGTAACTTTGCAGTTGCCCACAAAGACTTCATTTAGTCCTGTTCAAAATCTAACAAAGATAAAATTACTCTGATATTAACCAGATGTGACTATCAGATGTTTTAGAAGAGAGGCTCTCTTTATGGTTCCCAAATTGTTAACCTCAAGCTTCCAAGAACCTCAACCCTACCAGTAAAGATCTCTGTTAGATGCCTCAGGGAGCCCAACGGTGGTCTGGACTGAAGACAAGGCAGGAGAGAGAGTGTTCTGACCAGAACTTTCCTGAGTTTATCCAATTTATACTTTTTTTTATTAGATAACCCCTAGTGGTTTCATTTGAAGGGAGAATTAGAAATGTTAAAAAAGAAAAAGAACATTGAAAACCTCTGTCCTAGATAAATCCCCTTGATCTTAAAATCAGCCCACAAGGAAATCACTGAGCTGGGTAGCCCAGCAGAACCATTAGCTAGTCAGTTCTTCCACTCACAACCAGTTGCCTCTGATGACAGTCCAAGGGAGTTAGCAAGGTGATACTGTTCTAGCAAGTTGAGAAAAATCCAGTTTCTTTAGATTATGAAACACATGACAAAAAGCCTGCTAACCAAAAAACCTTTATTTTGACAAATTGTAGACCACAAAATATGATTGCAAGCTGCCACTACTCACAGGGGAGATTTAATGGTATTAGAGAGTAAATGCCAGGACTCTGTGGGAGAAATCTATTTTCATCTGGGATTCTCAGCCAGAGTGTCTTCCCAAAAAGTGTGTAAAATGCCTGCCATTCTCATGACTCCTGACCACCAGACTCTCATTTCAATGGTGTAGAAGTAGAGAGGTAAAGCACATCAACACACTCTAGGAAAAGACCACCAGAAGCACATCTTCAGTTAATAAGCTGGGTTTATTACACATTGCTGAGATGGAGAATGTACAGCAGAGGGAACCATGAGAATCTCAGTAAGAGACTGTTGAAAAGAACCTATTATTAACAGCATTTGCACTTTGGTTGGTTTAATTTTGAGAGGAGTCTAAAGAAGTAGGGCATTTTTCTAGATTGGATGTTGTCAGAAAGTGGGGATAATTCTATGATTGAATATCTCAATAATTCTTCCCTATAAGTAGGGCAGACTAGAGCAAGGATAAAGCTGTAATTGATAAAAGATTAGCAGTCACTCATTCATGATAATATTGACTGAGAACAGGAAAGAGTTAATGCTAGGCACAAAAAGATACTGTTCTTGATTGTTCACACTGGGTAGGACTCACTGTCAATTGCTTTGTACAGGAGACCCTGTTGATTTCAGAAACTCAGTGAGTAATGTCTATGTCTAGATCATATTCCAGACCATAGCTCTATACGTCACTCAAGGCATTCTTCTGTTCTCTTTGTGAAAGCCTATGTTAAATTGCCAATCATGCAATCATTTCATACAATTACCTGGAATAGGTCTACCTGATGATTTCAGTCACATTTCTGATGTCCAGAGTGGGCGAAACCAGCTAAGTGTCACTGCCTGTTTCTCAAACTAACTGTGGTGAAGAAACAGTTTTTCTCCCTAGTCAGTTCCAGACTAGTACTTTTGTACATACAAAATAAATATAATTTGATACAATAAAAACTAATTACTATAATAATGAAAAGATAGAAAATACCAGCCCATTTTCAAAACTGTTATTATTAGACCTAATAATGCACAAGCTGTCAAAATTGCTATAAAAGGTCCTAAACTCTTAGCCTCACTATTGATATTTGTCTTGTCACAAACCTGAGTCTGTGTAGAACATTTAAGTAGCACTGGGGTTTTTAAATTAAATTAAAAGCATTCTGTTAAACATGTCTGGTATGCTGCCCATTTCAAACTCACAGAGCATCTGACAAGGCAGCAGAAAAGAAAAGGAGAAGAAATTTTATTCATGGTGAGGGTCTTGTCATGAACCCCCCAACTTAGTAAGGAGTAAACACCTGTGGCTACTATCGATGTGCAACGGTTTCAAAGAACACATGTAGAAAATTGAATCACTAGAATCCCTTCTATACCAGTCCAGTATTAATCTAATGAAATTGATTAAATTTCCCATGCAGGTAGGGTTTCAATAGCTATACTCTTGACAGGCAGAGATTTTCTCATCGGTATTTTTAGGCCAGAAGTGGCTGTACGTTCTATTAAGACAACTTGGATTTTATTATAACCCCAAAGCCTCCCAAGACAATGGCTTTATATGCCATCAGGTTAATTCTCTCGTATCTATGTTATCTCAGTATCCATGTTCCTTCCCTAAGGTCAAGGAGGTCAAGCCTAAATTCCTACACGTAGCCAATTAAAGGACTCAGGCACCAGCTGATCAGCCAAATGTATCCACATTCTCACTCTCACCAATTAAACTTTGAAATGATCTCTTCTAAAGGTTTATCTTGTTCAAAACAATTCAATTTTAAGAAATCCTCCCCAACTCAATGAAGCAACTGCTGTGATCCCTCAGTTTGCTGATCTGTTCTCCTAAGCCTGCTTCTGTTTCTGCACGATCTGCTTTCTTCCTTTTAGCACACAGCTGCTATGAGCTGGAAACTCTAGAAAAAGCTTCCATTTGTACATGGCCACATCCTCAGCACTGCCTAATAAGGCCATACCCACCCTTTTCCTGATCAAACTCAAGGTCTGGGCCACTTCTCTCTGCTGAAAAATTCTGTTCCACTCATAAAATCTCCCCAGAAGATATTTTCCTTAACCATAATTTAAAGTAAACATAATATACTATATTAAATATATAAAAATGTTACATATTTACATATAATTATATAAATATTTACATATATTTTATGTGTGTGTTCTTTTACCAAACATTTTGGACATTTAAATTCTATGGCATTCATTTCTGAGTTCCTTGAGGGTGTAACCATGATTATTTCTTTTGCTATTTCACAGTGCCCAGGATAGTGCCATAACCAGCTTCCTGCAAATTTTTTAAATTTATTAGTTAATGAATCAAAGAACTTCTACTCATTTAAAATGAATAGAAGTTTTATACACACACACACATACACACATGTATTATTATACACACATGTATTATGCCAGCCCAGCACGAATTCTGAAGCATAATCCTAAACTACTGGTGTTCATGTTGCAGAAGTGGACCTGCTACATGCATGCCACTGTTTTCCATGCTGGTTTTTACAACCCTCCAGAACATCAAGAGTCAGCACAAGCTGGCAAAAATAAACTAAAGCATGATGAACTCACGAGCACTTGATAAAACATTGTATCTTAATTCCATTGGGTCGGAGTTATGCCTAAAGAGGACAACAGCAGAATATTCAAAGTATCACAGCAGGACCAGCCAAAATATTATAGAATAATTATAATCAGGAATGAAAGAAATATTTTGAGAACTCCCAGAAGCAGTGACAAAACAAAAGTAACAGCTCTGAATTCCCAAGAAACAGAAGCCTGATAGCCACTGAAATAAAAATGGTTGTTCTTTTGTAATACAGACTTGTAATCAACTGTGCATGGAAGACGCAAAAACACAAACACACATTTCAAATAACAACTGGAAATACAAAACAAATAAAAATAGTTCACCTATACAGAGCGTGTAAAGAAGGGCTGATTACTATTGGCCTGAACCACAAAACTGAAAAGCAACATATGGGTGTTGAATTTGAAGATGAATCAAAGCCACCGCACAGAAAGCATTGCATCTTGCGTTCATAAAGTAATGCTACTTGGACATATTCTGACAGAGAATCTGCTCATTTCCCACGTTAGCATTCTCTGAGGAAGCTAGAGAACACTTTCAAAATGCTTTATTTATGAAGATGTCTAAAGTTTCCACATAAGGAATAAAATACTATCATTCTGAAAGAATCTATGCTTCTTTAGAAAGTTTTCAGAACACTTTGAACAAAAGAACATAAAATCCCCCAATGTAATACAAGGAGAAACATTAGCAAAAAAAGCAAAAAAAGAAGAAGAAAAGAAGTGCTAAAATAATTGTCTTTTGTTTCTTGGAATAATGTTGTCTTCACATTATTCCATGAAACTAAATTGTCACAAATTAAGCCAACATATACATCTTTAACTGCAAAATGCTTTCTAGTGTCTTTTTCTGAACTTAAAATATAACATAACAATGAAGCCTCCTTTCCACCTCCACCTTCCAAACCATGCAGAAGCCAAGGCTGCCCTCCCAGCACCTGCAAACTCATACACACAAAACGGAAGGAGACTTACCAGACCATCACAGTTGCTGATGGCAACAGAAGTTCCTGGAATGTTCACGATGTCACCAACATAAGCACAGTTAGTCTGCAAAGGCTCAGTTTTCCGGATTCTATCTGTAGCACTTCCTGGTTGATGGTTGTTAATGGGATCGGTTATATTCCCAGGCACCAGAGATGTCTCATGCCACTCCACAACAGCCCCAGGAGCTACTAGTTGAGTGTTGGGCTTTAGTCGCAGATGAAAATCTTTTCCAAATGCTGTGATGTTAAAGAACAACTGCTCAGGGTTGGAAGACACGTCCCTCGCTGATCTCTTTTTGTGATTCGCAGAAAGAGTATGGGAGAGATAGTGTCCTTCTAGATTTGTGCTCACTGGAGTCACCAACTCATACTCTCTGTATCTCTTTACTGGTAAATCTGTGGGGTGAAAAACAGAATTGTTGAACCCTGTACAATAAGATAACGCAGGAGAACATAACACAGACAAAATGTACCCACCTCACAAGACCATACCTCAATATGGACATTCCCAAATCATCTTATAAATATTAAACTTTGAGAATAAAAATCATGTCCCAAATGCTGTTAACACCTGTGTTAGTCAAGAGTGAACAGCATTTTCATTTTGCATTCTCATTTTGCACCGTATTCCTTAAGTGGGACAGATTTCTACTTGAATATAAAAGTGCATTTGGAACCCACCTACAATATGGGTAGCCACTTACATATTAAACTGAATGTCACAATTAGCACTTAATTCCCCTGGCTTAGCACTGAACACCCTGTGTTCAATGAATCCTTTTTTAATTAAAATAGCATTATGTTGTAAATATTCACAGCTCATTAATACATTTGCAAACACAAATATAATGTGTCCATAAACTCTAAATGGCTTGCTTAAAAATCAAAATTTATCATTGGCATAATAATTTATATATAAATTTAATAAATTTATATATAAATTATATAATATATTTATATATAATATATATAATTTATATAAATTATAAATTTATATATAAATTATTATGCCAATAATAAATTTTTTGATTTTTAAGCAAGCCATTTACAGTTTATTATTGGCATAACTGACATCTGCCAAAAACTTTTAACTATGTAGAAAAACTTTCTGATTGTTTTCATTTTTTCCCTGTAGAAATCCTGGAATTTAGACTATTTACAGTAACTACATGACATGAGCCTGTAATGTATACACTGTAGCTTACAATGCTGTGATTTATACCCATTTTTTCCACCATAACAACACTGACAACCATACTTCACAGGTGAGGAAACTGAGATTCAGGAGTAGGTGGCCTTATGTCCAAGGTCAAACAACAGCGAAGCCTGGATATAAATCCAAGTTGTACTCCAAAGCCCATATACTCATTCTGTGATACCATGCTGTGTTCCATAAACCTCCACTTTTAGAAAATTAGAAGAATGGATAAAGAAGAAATGATCATCTTTAAATGGGATATGCAGGTACTGGTTAGTCAAGAGCAAACAGCATTCTCATTTTGCACCTTATTCCTTAAGTGGGACAGATTTCTACTTGAATATGAAAGTGTATTTGGAACCCACCTACAATATGGGTAGCCACTTACATATTAAACTGAATGTCACAATTAGCACTTAATTCCCCTGGCTTAGCCAAATATGAGTATTTTGTCTATCAAAATGCAAACACCCTTGAGGAAGAGAACACATTAAATGAACCATTAATAGAAATTATTTTAAGACCACAGGAAAATAGATACTAGAAAAGGAAACAAGCAGGGCAACAAGGGCTAAAAAAAAGAAGACATTGAAAGGGAAATCTAAAAACATGAACTAAAAAGTTCCCCACTTTCCCAATTCTAGCCCTAGGCTAGTCCTCTAGTGTGTTAAAGTGCCCTAAAAAAATGATATGATTCACAAATACTGCTCACCTAAGGAAATCACAAGTTTTGTCATCCAGTAAAGTGTTTACAGCGTAAGATCTGTAAACGGACCTATGTCTTATGCTCATAAAGTATCCTTGCAGAGTCACTGTTTTCATTATCTTGTTGCTTTTTACAAACCTCAGGCAATATGTAAAGTACCAGAAGACAAATAAAGGTGTTTACTTGTGCAACATGGAAATTCTTTCTGTGCATGTTTATCATTATGCCTCTTACAATGACCAATGTATTTAAACAAACTATCCCTTTTTATTAAATGAATAGAGCAAGCAATACTTGTAAATATTTACTAGGCAAAGAAGCAATGAGGACTGTAGTATGAGTCAAATGATACCTGATTCTAAAACTGGTGGCTAGACAGTGCAATCCCTGCTGACCTAGACTCGGCACCAGCATAAACACAGGCACAAAGATTTGGTCCTCCTCACAACCAAATCCGTGGTGAAAACTTTTATAAACTCTGGTTTAAAGAGAAAAAAAAAAAACTCAAAATTTAAGAGAATGAGCAAAAGTGTCACAGGTGCACAGTGACGGGGGGAAAGTTTCCAAAGTAATATGAATCAAGCCCTTATGTGCACTGACAAAACCTAGCCCAAATTAACTATACATTCCTTAAAGACAAGGAGCTCCCCCATTCAACTTGGTACTACCAATTTCACCATACAAGATTTTGTGTCAGAGTGTCTTGTCAGTTGGATTTGTTTGATGCATATTAAGTTAGAAATACAGGTAACCAGAGAACACTGGCCTTGTCTAAGCTGCTACACACACTGACTTACAAGATATATACCGAGGCCCATGGGTGTCTGACTGCCCCAATCATCTCAGTTATAACTTTTTCTCTAACCATCGGTTGACTGGTCAAAGGAAGGAGGAAGCAGTACTTAATTTCAAAGTATGGATTTCCCATCTCCACTGAAGGGAATTCACACAACCAAAGTCTAAATCAGCATATCGTACTGGTGCCTGGATTAAGTGACTGGAGAACAAGAACATTTAGAAAAATGCAGGGAGGCTTCTCCATACCCAAGAAGATACTCAGAGTCTCATGCATACAGTAAGCCATACATCCTAGATGTATGTTCCATTTTCCACTGTCAGATAATATATTCTCAATTTCTATTCAAAATAAGAATGGTATGTTTCTATAAAGCTTTGTTTTCCCTAATGCTAAATAATAAATCATTCCTATAAAGTACATATTTCGTAAATTAAATGCTTCTAAGAGTCATTTTTCTGTTGGTAATTAAGGTAATGAGGAAAAAGATGGACTTGGTAACCCTTTGGATTAACATCTCCTAGATGGTAGTTAATGGAACTGACAAAGGAACCGCCCAGTCACCTGCCATTTATTATCAAAAAAACTCCAAGCTCTATAATTGGTGTTTGAGAATATATCATCTCTAATACTCACAATAATCACAGGAGGTAAATCCTGTTACCTCTATTTTATAAATGAGAAAGCAGAACTAGATGGCCTGACACATATAAGCAAAGAGCCAAAGGAAAATTGCAATTCTCATCATTTGACTCTGAAGGCCATGCTCCTATGCTCTCATTCACTTCTGAATAGATGGAGCATCTTGCTGTCAAATTCAATTTAATATCTGATTTATAAAAGAGAACTACAACAAGAATAACAACATTCTACCTACCTGTAGCCAGTCAACCAATTTTTCCTCTAATGTAGCATTAAAATTTTCTGCAAAAGGCTCTTAAATTCTAGGTTTTGGGGGGAGAAACTGGGAGGAGGGGCAGAAGCTCAAAGCAATCAACAGCATTTTAATCTCAGATTATAATCAAATCATATAAATAAACCAAATTATATTCAATATTAATTTACTGCATTCATAATTTTCACATTTTACAGGCCCAACTGCTTTCACAAAGCAGGAAAGCCAGTGGCTATTGAATGAACTGCAGTGTCAGAAAGCAGTAAAGTTGAGTCCACTTGTGATCTTCAGCAAGTTCTCTATTTCCTCTTAGGCTCAGTTTCCTCAACTGTTAACTGGAGGTTAGTAATAGTTCCAACTTTATAAGTTTGGTGAGAGTTTTACATGAGATCATGCAGAAGATTCAACAAATATCAGCCATTACTAATTTAAATGTAAGTTAGACACTCATTAAAATAATGTTGTGCTCAACTTTAAAGTTAGAAACTGTAAAATTGTTAGTGGAGGTGGCTGACGGGCCACAGTAATAGGTATGTGAAGGTTTTTGTGGGCCCTAAGGTTCCACAGGCACAGGGAACTGGAGCCACTGTAAACTCTATTATTGGTAGCTTATTACCCAAACAACCCAATGCAATGATTTATCCACAACCCACTGTTATCAGTGCACATATAGGCATCTCCCTTCTAGTACTATGGATGAATTGTCAGTCATCCTACCTAAGAGCAAACCCTCTACACACATTCAAGCACAACATTCAAGCCCTTTTTGCCTTTTCAAGAAAACTGTCTTTTCAGCTATGTTCTCTTTCTCTTTCCTCATCAACTTTCCCCACATTACTAGACCATTCCCACCAGCAGAAAAAGAAGCTGATACCATATCTCCCATCTTGGACAAATAATATTTTGGATGACATGCCCTCCTCTAGGTAATAACCCATTCTTTTACTCTCCTTGACAGCAAAAAGCTTAAAAACATTGATTAGATATCTCCAATATCATTCATTCCATTCTTATTCTTTCTTGAACACATTCCGCTCCAATCAGCTTCTTTTGGAGTCACGAGTGATCACATGTTGCTGAAGTCAATAGCCAAGACTTGATCTTTTTATTTTTCATTTCAGCAGCATCTGACACAGTTTCTCTTTCCTTCTCAAAATATTTTCTTTATTTCACTTCCAGGTCATCATTCTCTCCTTACCTCACTGGTCTCACCTTCTCATTCTCCTATACTAGTGTCCCTCCGTTTCCATGGCCTGGAAACACTAAAGTATCACGGGACCTGATAAATCGACTCTTTTCTGTGTCTACCCTCTGTAGCTGGTGAGCTCCTTCTATCTTAAGACTGGATGCCTTTACAATTGTGTATCTCTAGCCCCAGCTTCAGCTATGAGCTCTTCTCTTATAAATCCAACTGCCTATGGAGTCTTTCCATGTAGATATTCACAAGGCATTTCAACTTATCATTCCAAAATTAAACTCCCAATCTTCCTGCTCTCATATCTGCTCCTCCTTTCCCAAGTCAGTAAATAGCAACCCTATACTTTATTACTCAGAGCAAAACTTTGATTAAAATCATCATTAACCCTTCATGTACCACAAACTCAATCTTTTACCAAATTCTGTTGATCCTAGCTTCCATACACATCCAGACTCTGACCACTCCTCAGTACCTCCCTGCTACAACTGTAGTCCAAGCCAACATCACCTCAGTTTTGAATGTGCTTCTTAACTGTTCTCCTTGTTTCTGCTCTTCCCTTTAATGGATTATCCTCAAAATAGAGCTAGAATAATTAAAGTGTCATATCATGTCACTTTTCTCCTCAAACCCATC